GGCTTTTTTGTGAAAAATAAATGATTTTATTTTATTTTTTAAATAAAAAAGATTTACTTTTATAATTTAGCACATGGTAAATTAAGATTATCATAGACTTAGAGATGGAAAAACAAACATGTCATGTTTAAACAAATTATATCAGTACATAACATAAATGATTATTTTTAACTAACCATTACAATTTTTTAATTTTTTAAGTAGAATAGTTTTTATAAAATAAATAATAATAATTAAGTCTATTTTAATTTGAATCGGCCTGAATTGAAATAAAAACAATTTAATTTTCAGTTTGGATTCCTCCCTTGATTTAGAATTCTGTTTGGTCTAGTCTCATTAGGTTTCGGACTAATGAACAGTCTTGGTGAAAGAGTATAAGATTGTTTCCATGAAGTTCTAAAAAATTTACTTTGAAAAAGAAAATCCAATTACTATATGTAGTGTAGATAAGGTAAAAGTATTAGAGTATTCTGTTATTTTGGTATAATTAATTGTGTTGTTATTTTACTTTATTACCCTTACATGTATATAATATATTCTTTGTACTCTGTAAAATCAAATAAACAACTTTATATGGTATCAGAGCTTCTGTGTTCTTCTCACTGTGATCGATTGATCACAAATTCCTTGATTCTTCAATTCAATCTAAAACTTCATTAATTTGATTCCTCCATTCAATCTTTCTTTTGCAAATTTGTTTAAATCTCAGACTCCATTAATCTTCAATGACCAGAGGAGCCATGGAACTCAATCTGGCGCTGCAAAGTTCATCAGCCCAAACTGATGAAACCCAGAACCCATTCTTCCTCCACAATGCAGACCACCCAAGTATGGTTTTGGTGAATACCCTTCTTCACGACAATAATTATAATACGTAGGAAAGGGCTATGAGAATTGCCCTCAATGCAAAGAACAAAATGGGTTTTGTTGATGGTACCTTCATCAAGCCAGTGAACACTAATCCTTCCGCCAGTGCTTGGTTGAGGTGTAATAGTATGGTAATCTCGTGGCTCCTCAACGCTGTCGCCAAGGACATCGCTGACAGCCTATTGTATCATGAGAATGCCAAGGACATGTGGACTGACCTCCACCTACATTCCAGTAAAGCAACGCTCCAAGGATCTTTCAGCTCAAACAAGTAATGAACAATCTGGTTTAGGGCTCTCTCTCCATTAATGCTTATGATATTCGCATAAAAC